TTTGGGACCCCTGCATGTCAAACCCATTGGTTTTGCAAGTCCAATATTTTCAGGCTCCTCTCTCCAGGGAAAATCCCAGGTGATGGGGTGACTAATGTGGGGCACCAACCTCCCCGCCCCCACTCCTCCAGAAGAAGCACCACCTGGTAAAATTCCTTCTCTGTTCAATGTTGTTGCTCTGAGGATAGGGTTTTTTGCAGGACTGTGTTTCTGCCTCTTTATCCATCTTGGTGTGGTCCTTATATCTTTTGTTGTAGATGGAGTTCATACAGTTTTCAGATCTTTTACAGAGGGAAATTACCCATATGTAGCTATAGATCTGGTGTGTCTACAGGATGGGGTAAGTTCAGGATCTTCCTATGCTGCCGTCTTTCCAGCTCCTCCAATTAACAATATTGTCCAAATGGTACTTCTAGAGATTCAAAATATAATGTCCAAAATCTTTTTAAAAATAAGTAGACACAGCAGATAAGATACTGCAGAAAAAGTGATCAGTGATCTTGAAGAAACAAACAAAAACTCCAAAAACTGAAGCAGAGAAAGAGAGAAGGCTGTATAAAATATAAACAAAACCTTGATGATGTGTAGGACAATACCAAATGGTCTAGCACATGTGTGAACGAGTCCCAGAAAGTATATGTATATGAGGGGGGTTGTGCAGATGGGAACAAAAAAATTTAATGAAGAAATAATGGGCAAAATTGTTCAAATTTCATAAAAAGCATAAATTCACAGTCTAAGGAAATCAATAAATTTTAAACAGAATAAGCACAAAGTAAACAGCACTAAAACATCATAATCAAATTGCTGAAAACAATTTAAAAAATCATAAAACTAAGCCAACGAAAAGATATCATTCACACATAAGAACAAAGATAAGAATTACTATGGACTTTTCCATAAAAAAACCTGAAGACATAATCCAGCAATGCTACTTCAGGTTATACACCCACAAGAAGTGAAAGCAGGGGCTGCAAGAGATATTTGTGCATAAATGTTCACTATTCACAACTATTCACAATAGTTGAAAAGCAGAAACAACCCAAGTATTCATTGATAGATGAATAGATACACAAAATGGTATATAATACACACTATGAAAAACTAGTCAGCCTTTAAAAGGAAGGAAATTCTGATACATGACATGTGGATGAACCCTGAAATTACTATGTTAAGTGAAATAAGCCAGACACAAAAGGACGAATATTGCATTATCCCATTTATATAGGCACTAGAATAGTCAAATTCATAAAGCAAAAAAGCAGAATACCCAGGTACTGGGGGAAGTTGACTGGGGAATTACTGTTTAATGGGTCCAGAGTTTCAGTTTGGGAATAATAAAAAAAATTCTAGAGATGAATGGTGGTATTGGTTACACAACAATGTGAATGTAATTAATGTTAATGAAGTTAAAAATGGTTAAAATGGTAAATTTTATGCTACATATATCTTACCACAATGAAGAAAAATACTAGAATATAATGAGGATTCCATACTGAAGACAAAAAAAGAAAAATCAAAACTGGAGACAACTGAATGATATACTTAAAGTGCTAGAAAGAAAAAAGTCAACCTAGAATTCTATATCCAGTGAAAATATCCTTCAAAAGTGAAAGCAGAATAAAGACATTTCCAGACAAAAGCTGACAGGATCTATCTCCTGCAGACAAGAACTCCTAGTAAAGGAAGTACTTTAGGCTAAATGAAGAATGATACTAGATAGGCTACATAGCCAGTTTAAACCCAAATATTCAGACTTCAAACCCTGAGTCCTTAATACTATATCTCAGTATCTTTTTTAAGACTGAGTATCTAAAAACAAAGTAAAATGTGACAAATGTTCTTTCTCTAACAATACCGTAATATGGTTTCTAAGGATCATACTTAAGTTAATTCATGAATTTAGGTAGTAAACCTGGTCTTTACACATACCTAATTGTATAACCCAGAACATATACACTTTGGTTTGAAGGCAAACATTCCAAATTGTATTCTTTGTCATCCACCTATATAATTCAAAACTATAACAACATACGCTAAATATTTATTTTTTGTTCAGGGAAAGGGATTGGGGATGGAAACTTCTACATTAGACTTTTTAGATCCTATTATTCTTTTGTCATTTAAATTTATGAAGTTTAAAGTTTTGAAATTTAAGTTTATAAATTTAAAATTTTTTAAACTTTAGGGGCGCCTGGGTGGCGCAGTCGGTTAAGCGTCCGACTTCAGCCAGGTCACGATCTCCCGGTCCGTGAGTTCGAGCCCCGCGTCAGGCTCTGGGCTGATGGCTCAGAGTCTGGAGCCTGTTTCCGATTCTGTGTCTCCCTCTCACTCTGCCCCTCCCCCGTTCATGCTCTGTCTCTCTCTGTCCCAAAAATAAATAAACGTTGAAAAAAAAATTTTTTTAAAAATAAAAATAAAAATAAAATAAAATAAAAATTTTTAAACTTTAAAATTATATCATGCCCTCTTTTAAAAAGAAGTTTATTTAAAAAAATTTTTTTAACATTTATTTATTTTTGAAAGAGAGACAGAGACAGAGTGCAGGTGGGGGAAGGGCCAGAGAGAGAGGAAGACACAGAATCAAGGCAGGTTCCAGGCTCTGAGCTGTCAGCACAGAGCCCGATGTGGGGCTCAAACTCATGAACCATGAGATCATGACCTGAGCCAAGGTCAGACGCTTAACCAACTGAGCCACCCAGGCGCCCCTGAACTTTATTTTTTTTAAAGAACTTTAAATCTCACTTCTTAGGAAAACATTTTATTTCTGCTCATTTCACAAGTTTTAAAAAGAGAATGGAAAAAAGATATAAAATTAAAGGGCAAGCCCTATGCCTGTATTCTCTGACTGATAACTCACAATCATTTTATTTATTTATTTTTTAAACTTTGCTTATTTATTTTGAGAGAGAGAGTGAGTGAGCAGGGGAGGGACAGAGAGAGAGAGAGAGGGAGAAAGCTAGAATCCCAAGCAGGTTCCGCGCTGTCAGCGTGGAGCCAGACAGAGGGCTCAAACTCACAACCGTCAGATCATGCCCGAGCCAAAACCAAAAGTCGGACGCTTAACCAACTGAGCAACTCAGGAGCCCCAACTCACAATCATTTTAGAGAGTGTTTGCTATTGATCTTGATCTCCATATAAACATGAAAATTTCAACAATTTTTTTTTATTTTTTGTTTCAAAACTTTAGAATAATTATGGTTCTCTCTTTATAATTTCCTACATGGCACAGCAAAGGCACAAGACTAACAATCTCCGAGCACTAAAATCTTGGCACTTAGGTATATTTATGATTTTGAAGCATTCATCAAATTATAATCTGTGACAAAACATACTGTCAATATGTAGATTTTCTGCTTTTGGATATTTTGGGGCTTAAAAATTATAACAAAAAGAGGAATGTTTCCTCTACATACCAGTCCAAATTATCTTCTTATTCTTTTTCTGGGAGTAATATTACACAAAAACAACACAAACTAAGATAAGTAAAATAATCTAAACTTGTTCATTAGCATTTAATCTGAATAGTATAAACAAAGTGACTCAAAGAAAAAGAGTAGTAACTTCTTAAACATTCAAACCATCAAACAACTTCTCAGCTTCTTCAGGTAGAGCCTGTTGTCATCTTTGATATTAGACTAAGCCGAAAGGCAATCTAAACGCACCTGCCTGGAGTCCTCTAATTCCATTACAGGAAAGCATTCCTGAAGAAATTGCTAAGCATTTAATATTTATTACAGTGAAAGGACAAAAAGTGTGTTTCCCATTCCTCCTTTCCTTCTTTTGCCTCCCTCTCTTCCTCCTTCCGTCTAGATCTTTCTCCCCCTCTCTTCTTCCTAAACCCATGCACCCCTTTCTAAGGTACCTGCACTTGCATCATCATCTCAAACTAGTATTAGTGTCTGTCAGTAGATCATCTTCCCACTCCAGTTTATTCCATTATTGTTGCTGTATTAACGTCTCTTAATACTTGTTTGTGATCAGACTCTTGCTTCAAACCCTCTTAGCTCATCATTGCCTACAGATTAAAATCACAACTTTTGGCATAGGAGATAGAATCTAATATAGAATCTTTTATATCACAACTCCAACTTTTTTTTTTTTTTTTTTGGAAACCCAGTCTTTTCTGCTAATACTCTCTCTCCTCTCTTCACCATTTCTCACCTTCGGCTTATATCCAGTAATAATAGTTAACATTTATTGATAGCTTACTATGTGCAAAGTACCTTCTACACAAAATATTTATTTTACAAAGTTATGTGCCAAGCGCTATTCTAAGCACTTAACAAATAATACCTCAGAGTGCCTAGCTGACTTAGTCAGTAAAGTGTATGATTCTTGAGCTCAGGGTCATGAGTTGGAGCCCCATGCTGAGTGTACAGCCTACTTAAAAAATAAAATAAAATGTTATTTAAAAAAATAATAACTCAATCTTCATAACAACCTTTGAGATAGGTACTATCATTATCCCTATTTTACTGCCTAATGGCAGAAAGCAGATCAGCAGTTTCCCAGGTCTGGGAGGGATGGACAAAGTGGGAAGTGACTACTAAATGGCATGGAGTTTCTTTATGGAGTGATGAAAATTTTCAGAATCAGAGAGTGGCAATGATTGTACAATTTTGTAAATATACTAAAAACCAGTGGATTGTATACAGCAAATTGGTAAATTATTAAATTTATTTACTTATTCATTTACTATTATATATTAATTATTTATTCAAAAATTTATTAAAATTATTAAATTGGTAAATTATTTTAAATGTTTGGCAGAGGAGACAGGCAGATATTAAGGCAGGATATCTCCTATTGGTTGCTTTGACACAAGTGCTGAATTCTTTGAAACATCTTATTTCACAAATATTATCAACACCAAATTATTTGGGCAAGAAATTTTAGTGCAAAGTTAAGCCAGAAATCAATATAATCCTTCTAGATAACAGAGACAACTGGAAGAATGAGAGTACACGCAGGAGCAGAATGCTCAGATAACACGCACCTCTTCCACAGGAGACCGGTACTCGCAGTTACCGCAGATGCTCCCAGGAAAGCCACCATCATTAGTCGTCGCCTGATCTGGGTGGGCTGTGATCCTCCATGGTAACATCGAACGCCCACGGCCAGTTCTGCCAGTGCAGAGAGTGAGTGAAGACGAAACATCCTGTGGACAAAAAGTAGAAATGTTATTCCTAATTAGTGATGGGAACAGCGATGATGATGATGAAGATGATAGTTTCCACATCACCCACACGTACTACAGACTTACTCAATGGCAGACACTAAACACTTTGCGATCCCATGTAGTATTCCATTTAATCCTCAGAACAATTGTATGAGAAAAATAGCACTTATTACCCTGACATATGAGTCAAAGTACAATCAGAAGACAAGAAACTGCATAGTAATTTCAACAGGGAAAGGTTAATATAAAGCATTATTAATTATAACAAAGGATAATACCAAGAGTCAAAGAGATAGCAGATACAGGGAGCAGCCACTACTTCAAGGGCTGATGCAGACCAACAGGAGAGGAATAAATCTGTAAAGGGGCCACTCTCAACAGGGCTTAGATACAGGCCTATGATAAGGACATGGCATGGATGTCTGAGAAATTCACTAAAGTATCAGGCCAACAGGTCACTCACTGTAAAGTCATCTAGTAGAACTCAACACGCCAGGGGAACTCAGGAAGGTACCAAGGGGGAGATGTCAGAGTACGGAACTCACTGGGAAACTGCATGTAGGAGTGTTGCTGCTAAAACTCCCTAGGCGTTGAGAGCCCCACGATGTCCCACATTCTGGGGGCCTCAGTGTGCTACAGGAGCGAGCAGCCAAGACACTAGAATCAGGAAGAAAAACTCCTCCCTTCTCTACTCTCCCTCTAGTCCTTCTACTGACAAACCTTAACAAAAGCTGGCAAGAGAGAAATTTCCAGTGTTGCAAATAGGGCGATGAAAGATGGATTTACAACTGCAAAGTAACAGATTTGTAAGTGGCACATCCATTTTACAGATGTGAAAACTGAGATATAGTGACTTGATCTAGAGTATTCAGCTAGGAAGTAGATCCATAATCTAAACCGACTGGACTAACGTCAGAGCCCAGGTTTTTAACTAGGACACTTTGCAGCCCCCCTACCTTTTAATGTTGATATTGCTTTTGTTAAAATAATTTAAGTTTTCATTAAATATTCCTCACTCCCAGGTCCTTGGAAGACCTCCTACACACCAAATTCTTTGGTTTCATACTTATAACTTCACCTGTTCCTCTAATTGTTAAATTCAGAAACATCTGTATTAGGTCATATTATTTTTCACTAAACACTCACCCTCCCATCCCCCATCCCATGGGAAAATACTACTTTCCACACTCTTCATTTTAGGTGTGTATCTTGCCATATGCCTTGCTATGGCTAATGGGATGTGGGCCAGTTCCATAGAGCGCTTTTAAGAAGTACTGCTGTTAGCCTTCTTGTGCTTCTGCATTCTACCAAGAGAAGATCATGCCCCTAGTAGGCATGCTCTTTCAGCCTGGGTTCCATAATGGACAGATCTCAGCCTGCAGCCAGGCACTGGGAAGACCAGCTGAGCCAGTTGAGCACAGCTGACATATGGAATGCTAGTGAGAAATAAATGTTTATGATTGTAAGCCACTAAAACTGGAGGTGGTTTATTGCCACAGCAAAAGCTGACTAATTCAGCATCTAAGAGAATTACTGGGAACTTCTCATTCAACAAAAATGTATTAAGTTCATGCTATTCAGGCCTTGCTAAGACCTAAAAGGCTAAAAAGAATTCCACATTCTAATTAGGCAAGATACACATGAAATATTTTTTTAATGTTTTATTATTTATTTTTGAGAGAGAGAGAGAGAGAGAGAGAGAGAGAGAGAGAGAGAGAGAGAGAAAGCATGGCTAAGGGAAGGGCAGAGAGAGAGAGAGGAAGACAGAATCCGAAGCATGCTCCAGGCTCTGAGCTGTCAGCACGGAGCCCGATGTGGGGCTCGAACCCACAAACTGTGAGATCGTGATCTGAGCCAAAGTCAGATGCTCAACCGACTGAGCCACCCAGGTGTCCTACACATGAAACATTTTAAAAGGATACATTTCTAAAATGGTATCTTGAAGAAGTATAAAAATATTGGGGTATAGATATTAGAGAATTTAAAAAAAAATTTAAACACCAGGGTAAGACTGGGTTAGTCAGCAAAGGCTTTTGTTTAGTTGTGAGTCTCAGAATGGTACAAAATCTTGATTAAGTGATAGAAATCTCATGGACACTCCAAAAGACAGGATCATTTCTGGCACCTCCATATAGAGTATTAATAGAAAATGATTTTTCTCCTCTAGACAGTATCTTGACACCAGAGTAGAGTCTTCATTTTTATTCCACCAGGTGGACTGAAGGCGAAAGGGGCATTTCTTCCTGGTTATATGACTTTTTATAGTGGCAGTTTATTCAAATTACACCAAATATCCATTCTCTTCTGTGATTTTTCCCAACACACAGTTCACTGCTTCCTAAATTATCTTGCACTTTATACATATCTTCCTATGGCAATTAACACATTTGTTCATGTGCAAGTTTGCCTTCCCCACTCGGCTCTCAGCCTCCTTTTAAAGCCAAAATTATGTTTCTTCCTCTTGGTAAACACACAGTCTAGCACAGAGACTGTTACATTACAGGTGTTTAAAATACTTAACCATCGAATTTACGTTCACATGAAGATGAAGGTACAAATTATACAGGTACTGGGCTCCTGACATTTAAGTATACGTCTAAGCCCCAATATACTAAGAAAACTATGTCTTTTACCATTTGGATTCAAATCAAGTTAAGACTACTTAGCTGTCCCTTAAAATCACTGAGCCAGTTACTAACTCTTCTATGGGACCTATACCTGTAATCTCTTAAGTAAACCTTTCCATTAGCCTTCTTCATTCAACCTAGGCCCAATTTCAAAGCTAGAACTAAATCCTGCCCTTATGGACAAAGAGGGAAAAGAATTAATTTTCTATCCTATTTCCTAAGACCTAAGCTGTGGCAACACAATTCTTATGACCCTCCCCAATCCCAGAAATCATCTCATTTTACCACACATACTTTAGCAAACTCCAGCACCAAGGAGACTATCCACTATATTTTCTTCCTGTCTGTCAACAACTGATTCGTTTTTATCTGGAGAGAGAGAGAGAAAAAGAGAGAGAGAGTGTGAGTGGGGGAGGGGGGCAGTGGGAGAGAGACAGAAAATATTAAGCAGGCTTTGCGCTGAGCATGGGCTCAATCCCACAACCCTGGGATCATGACCTGAGCCAAAATCAAGAGTCAGATGCTCAACTGACTGAGCCACCCAGGTACCCCTGATTCATTTCTAAATTAGTATTTTCCAAACCCACAAGTGCATTCAGATATATAACACTACTTTTGTCTGTAATAAAAATGAGCATAACTAAAACATATATATCTGGAGAAAACATTATTCATCACTGGCAACAGAAAGAAAAGAACACTCAGAAGTTTCCAATGTGAAAAACAAATAACCAGTTCAAAAGTTGGAACAGGCAAGGAATGTGTAAGACTGGAAGATAAATTTAGAACTGATCAGATACAGAGAATAAGTAGATGGATATCCAACAACGTAATAAAACCATTTTTCAGTAACAACAACAAAAAAGGCATGATCAAATAGGTAAGCCATAATTATTTGAGAAGATCGTTTGAATTGTGAACTGAGAATTTTGACCAAATATACAACAGGAAAACACTAAATATCTTAAATTGGAAAAGAAAGTGATGAAAATGTTTTTTTAAAGAATATCACTATTCAGTAGTGAATAAATTCCAAAGAACAACAACAACAACAAAAAGCTAACAGGAGTAGTGAGTACAGCCCAAAGGCAATTAATAACCTAAGTACTGAGTGATAAGTATCTAGATGATTAGTATGGAAACCAAACATAAAATAAAAACGGCCAAAGACAGACAAAACTATCAGATAACAGTGTCCAACACACATTCATAGGTAAGTGTGTAGGAGATATGGAAGACAGAAACGAGAAAGAGATTAAGATAATAACAACACTAAGTAGAGTATGGTAGAAAGTAAAATGGACTAGGAATCCAATGACCCAAGATCTAGTCTCAACTCTACTACTAAACAGCTGCGCACAAAGGAAGCTTATCTCCCTTCCTTAAGGAAGAATTTCATACAAGGAGAGAATTGCCTAAATGAGCTTTAAGGTTTCTTTTATCTCTTAATGCTCTCTAATCTGGGTGAAAAACTGTATGGCAAAGTTTAATCTATTTCATGGTGGGGGAGGGGAGTAAGATCATGCCATACAATCAAAACTTACTAGTTTTGAGAATCCAAGTCTGTATGCTCTAGTGTTAGAGGATTTTTAATTTTGAAAGTTCTGAGTTTTACTAACAGTCTACTTATATTTTGATGTTGTAATTCAAATGTTACTGTCTACATCTCATTTTACCACTGGTTTTAATCTCATTCCCCAAAGCACACATCAAAAGATATATTTAGGGGCCTGGTGGGTTCAGTTGATGGAGCATGCAACTCTTGATCTCAGGGCTCTGAGTTCAAGCCCCGGGTTGGGTGTAGGGATTACTTAAAAATAAAAAAATCCTGGGTTGCCTAGGAGGCTCAGTCGGTTGAGCGTATGATTTTGGCTCAGGTCATGATCTCACAGTTCATGGGTTCGAGCCCCTCATCAGGCTTTGCACTGACAGGGCAAAGCCTGCTTGGGATTCTCTCTCCCTCTTTCTCTCTCTGCCCCTATCCCACTTGTGTGTGTGCAAGTCTGTCTCTAAGTGAATAAACTTAAAAAATTTTAAAAAAAAAGATCTATTTGTCTTCTCTAGTGCAATTTTCACAGATGCCAAGTAAACAAAGAAAAAAAAACACACCAAGATTACTATAATTTAATTCCTAACTCCGTAGTGCAGAAATAGTGTAACTAGTTGAATGTGTTAATTTTTGATGAGGGACCATTTAAACAGATTTAAGGAGATCAGATTTCCAATTGAGTCTGGAAAATTGAACAGGCCAATTGGCAGCAGTTATGCAGTAATGAAGCACGTTTAGGAGAAGGATTAAATTAAATCAAAAACAGTGTATTTTTCTTCCCTTACAGTACCCCACCCTCCGCC